TCCGAATGTGCATATTTCCTCTGAAATTTGCTGCTTTAATGACGTATGCGCAGGATGTTTTCTCTTAAAATAGCCACGGTTTCTTTGCGTCATATCATCTCATTGACTGTGGGCGGAAGTAGAAAACATAAGCAGCAAATAAGGTTTAGACAAAAAGAGCACCACGGGCAGGATGAGAGAGCATTAGTTTGGAGACCCCTAGTCTACTCCCACAATCGGTCCTCGCTTATCACAGTATATGATTTTTTTTTGTAGAAAAGAAAAATCATTTGACAATGAAATTAAATTAAGGAAAATAAAAAAAAAAATATGAAAGTTACAAAGGACAAGATAATGTTATACTTATTAATAGCATTTCTCGATTTTTCTTTGAAACAAAATCATATTTATACTACTAGAAATCAGAACAATCTTACTTTTTTACACAAAACGTAATTATCTCTGTATTTCTGAGATTTTTTTAAAGTTCCTTGTTGACTATAAATTTGTCTCAAATACTTACTTGGGTGAGTTGAGTGTTGTAGGTTAATGCTTTTAGATTAAGATTGGTAAAGTATATTTTTAAAACGAATCAGGTCACTTCACATATTCATCTCCCACATTTATTTTACTCCATTAACCTTTGCTACACTGCCTTGGTCATTGTTACATTTTAACGTCATGTTATTGCATGTTATGTCTCAATCATTAGAAAATTCGTACAAAATAATTTTAAAATTTTTTAATTTACATAAAAATAATGAATGTACTCTTTTACATTCTATGAATATTGGACACATTTGATTAATTCTTTTATGTTTAGGCGATAAATTTACATTCTAATTGGACCTGCATATGAAATTTCTTACATTTCCACAAAATATTTAACGTAAATTACCTTTTTTCAAGATTTAATCACTCAACATAGATTGAATTTTTTTTTTCGGGTTTTATTTCATTTTTAACACATAAGTGAACGAAAACTGGTGATTTTATAAAAGCATTATTTGAATTAATGATATATATTTTTTGTATTAAAGCAGTTTAAAATACTAAATTTCATTTAAAATATCCTAATCAGAAGAGGAGTATCAGAGGATTTCTTAATCAGGGGAGGGGGAAATCAGAATATGTGAATCAAATTTACTAGTTACAAATATTTCATTCGTTCGCCACCCACGTTTTGCTCCATGAATTTAATTGACTTAAACACAGCATGCTTATTGAAAACTTTTGTATTGTCTATAATGACAGAGATCTCTACAAAACAAGAAGATGCACAAGGTGAGTTCATTTTTAATTAGGAGTTTAATGCCAGATTTACTGGAATAAAATATAACTAATGTGACAAAAAATGCACCATTTGACAACACAATTGAAGAAGTAAAATTCTTAGAGACTTTTTTTTTTTTTTTACTTTTTATTAAATTGCAAGACTTGGTTTTACCACCGTCTATTTCCAGACCCGGCCCGAACGTAACATATTATATTTTTTTTCATTGAGAAAAAAAAAAATCAA